GCACGCACGCACGCACGCACACGCGCCCACACATGTATATGTGTTTGTGCGATTGTCAATGTGTCAATGTATGTATACATGCATGCATCATGCATGTATGCATGCGGTTGGTTGGTTGGGTTCTTGGTAAGTTTCTGGGTTGGTTTCTTGGTTGGTTCCTTGGTTGGTTTCTTGGTTGGTTGGTTGGTTGGTGGGTGGCTGGTTGGATGGATGCATGGATGGATGGTTAGCAGTTTGGCTGTTTCTATGCGTGGATGCATGTACGTTTGTATGCTTGTTGGTTGGTTAGTTTATTTGCTTGCTTGCTTGTTTGATTGTTTGTTGTTTGTTCATTTTTTCATGTTTGTTTGTTAGTTGGTTGGAATGCGTTTTCATTGTGCATATACACAGGTACGTATGTATGTGGGCTCCCCAATACTGATTCCCAAGCGCTTTAGCTGGTTGTTGTCGACGGGTGTGTGGCGCAGGTATAATTCACGCAGGGACGGTGCGTGGGGCTTGTGTTAACGCTGTGGTCGTGATGCTGCGGTGGTGGGCTGTGGGGTTGGTCCACTATACGGTCTAGTTATATCAGCCGCTGGCGTTGTTGCGGATCTTTTGTTGTGGTTGCTATCTGCATTCCTACAGATACAACTGAGAAAAATATGCATCAAGCGAACCGCGCTCAGGGTTAGGAGGGAGAGCGAGAGAGAGAGAGAGAGAGAGAGAGAGCCCTGAGCCGGAGCCTAATTCCAAACACCTACATGGACCTACATTCCACATAAGCCCAGTAACATCCAAAGGTATCAAAAGCCTCAACGCCTTAAGCCCTACAAAGCTATGCCTGCCTTGAGCGAGTGTGTGAGTTGAAAGCCCGACGAAACCCTGGGAGACTCGAACACATTGAGCACCTCAATTTCCCGCCGCAGCCCTAGCCCGATGGAGCCAAGGAAGGTATCGCCGCACGCGGAGTCCGAGCTTCCAGGACCACCGCCTGCAGTTATGGCAGGCTTAATGCTTTTCATTACTTCGGCTGAAGTGCATGGACCGCGAATGTGCAAAGTCATGACATGTCCAGCAGCTCTCTTCCAGCACTTACACCGACAGCCCCTTCCAGAAGTCAAGCCGCATCTGTCTTGCCCCGAGGGCCGTCGAGCGACCCCGGTGCGCTCGGCTCCGTCGCGTGCTCTTGCAGCCTCGTCATCTGGCGAAGGTGCAGGGGGTCTTCGAGATTATGACTAACCTTTTCAAGAAAAGCTTTAGGCAGCGTCGAGCCGAGAGGGCTTCTGGAAGACGCAGCGAGGGTTCCTTCTGCTTTATCGGTGTTGTGGTTGAGGCTTGGTTCTGCACAGCCAAGAAGACTCTAATCAGCGCACTAGCCTGTGCTATGCTTCGTAGTGGTCTTGACTGTTGATTTGTTGGTTTTTAGTCCTCTTGCATTTTCACGATGATCGTGCATGTTGTTCTGGTTGAGTCTCTATGATCATGATTAATAATTGTCAGGCCAGGCCAGTCCATCACGCAATGCTGATCTCGTCAGCCACAAGACTGCTGTCCTTGTTTTGTGCTGTCGGTATCTTTGGCCGACAATTGAAAGTAGAGACGCCCTGGTATTAGTTCTGCTGAGCGGCTGCTTTGGCTATTTCATGTTGGTCGCGGTTCAGTGGCAGCGTTCGCGATAGTGGCGGTACCGATGATGGTTGTTGTTGGTGGTGATGGTGGTGGTTTTGGTGACAGTAACAGTAGCTAAATCGGTAATGGCAGAAGAAGTATTGGTAGTAGAAACAATAGTAGCAGCAGTAGCAGTAGTACTAGTCGTAGTCGTCGTCGTAGGGGTTGCCAACAGTCGTCGTCGTCGTCGTAGTAGTAGTAGTAGCAGCAGCAGCAGCTGTAATAGCAGTAGCAGGGTGGCAGTAGTAGTAGTAGTAGTAGCAGCAGCAGCAGAAGCAGCAGGAGGAGAAGGAGGAGGAGGAGTAGTAGTAGTAGTAGGTAGTAGGTAGTAGGTAGTAGGAGGTAGGAGGTAGGAGGTAGGAGGTAGGAGGTAGGAGGTAGTAGGTAGGAGGTAGGAGGTAGGAGGTAGGAGGTAGGAGGTAGGAGGTAGGTGGCAGTTGGTAGTAGGTAGTAGGCAGTAGGCAGTAGGCAGTAGGCAGTAGGCAGTAGTAGTAGTAGTAGTAGTAGCAGCATCATCAGCAGCAGCTGCGCAGCAGCAGCAGCCGCTGGAGGAGGAGGAGGAGGTGGTAGCAGCAGCTTGTTACCCTCACGCATGTTGACAGCTAAACATCATGTATCGGGCTGTGCATGCTGTAAGTCTATGGGCTTGGGTTTGCTATTCTCGTTAATCCAGTAGCATTTCGGCGCTGAAGCTTGATTTGCAGGGTGCTTATGAATTCGATCAAATTGAGCCTGAACTCCAACCCGTGCCCATGCGCTCGGTGCCGTTATGATTCTGCGTTTTTGTGACCACATCATGCTTGGCATTCGCTATCCCCATGTGAATTTAACTACCGGTTTGTGGCATATTGATGACTTGGCATGATTGTTGGTTTCCTGGTGACCCGCAAGAGCCGCTGATCAGGCTCGCTGGTACAGCGAGTGCGTAAGGCACTGCTGTAAGTTTCACGGTTTTCGTGGGTTCTAGCGGTAGGGCATTCAGAATGTAGACCTTGCGAGGTGTGACATTCACAGTTTCGGAGTCAGGGCTTCACAGTGCGAGGTGCCCATTGCCCAAGCGTAGAACACGACCCGCTCTTGCCATGTTGTGCCTATGTGACTCCTTTCAGTTGCTTCCTCCCTTTTCTGCTCTGAAGCTGTGTACCAAAATCATGATTCTTCTCACAGCTCCCGTGCCGGAACCGAGAGAGAGAGAGAGAGAGAGCGTCGATTACTTGCGACGGTATTATCTTTTTCAGAAGCGTAAGGTCGCCAGCTGGGAAACCGCATTCCAAAGATCTGTGCATCCGACAAGAGACCACCCCTGCCTTCTAGGGTACGAACACGTATGCAGGGTTCCAGTAAGATCCGTTAGCCTAAAATCTAGATACACAGCCGGGGCAGATTGTGAGCTCCTTCTTCAAGGTTTGCTTCAACCCTCGGACACGGGTCCCATGGTCGTTAGTTTGGCTTGGGTTTGAGGTTCAGGGATCGGGTGACCTGCTGGTAGGGTTGAGTTTGTCCAGCAAGCTGACAGGTGGCGCTTGATTTGCACGGCGTCTCCGGCCGAGGAGGCTCGAAGAGATCCCACAAACCTACGCAAAGCCCTCAACTGGCGTTGCATGTCTGAGAGTGGCCGGAACACTGTAATCTGCCATGCTGGCACTGCCCGAGGCTCTCGACCTGCGCTGGCTGAGAGCGTCCGGCATGCGCAACAACGGAGCAGTCCAGGACGATGTTGATTTGTGCTTGTGGTGTGTACCGTTTTGTGTCTGTTTAGGTTTCCGGACTTGGTTCAAGGTTTATCACTCCGCAGGTTCTCGACCATCGCTCGCCGAGAGCGTCCGGAACGCGGGAAGGCGGAGCAGTCCAGGCCGATGTGCTTTTTTTGTTTCCGAGTGGATGGTGGTGGTTGAGGGGGTTAGGGCGGTTAGAGGGGGTGCTCGGCGTCGGGCTTGTGCTGTGTAGGGTTCGGGGTTGCGGGTTTGTAATGTTTCTCCGTGTCTCTGCGTTTCTTTCTGCAGAGGGCTCAGCTCCCCATGTCGTTCCGTGGCATTGTATGTGCTGATGTTATGACTTCCGGCGAGCTGCTTCACGCATGCATTCTCGTGCTGTCGTTCGTGCTCGTTTGCTGTTGTTTGTTTTCTGGTTCTGTTGCTGTTCGGGCTATGGAGGTGACATAGTTCTTTTCCTTGCGGGGCTCATGCCCTGTCAACCGCTGACCTCACCTGCAGAGTTCAACGGGATGGTGCAGCGGTGAATTCAGATACGCCTGATATCGGTTTGGAGTTATTCAGGGTTTAGGTAGTGCCAGGTTTCAAGAGTCAGGGTCTGGAGTATGGAGCAGCGATCAGCAGGGATCAGAATTTGAGATCTTCTCTAGTTGCGGATTTGGTTGAGAGAAGTCAGGGAGTGGGGTCATTTGGTTCGAGTTGCGCAGTTGGTAGTGATTGGGTTGAGATGCGTAGAGGGCGCGAAACCTGGTGAAACAGTCATCTGCAGTGCTGGCAATGCAGAGGTTCTCGACCTTCGCTCGTGGAGAGTGTCCGGAACGTGGGAAAGCTGATCAGTCCAGGCTTATGTTACTTATATGCGGGAATGTTCGAATTCCGTTCTTGGGGTTCAGGTTGGGGTTCAGGGCCTCTTGCTCTTGCTTCCGATACGTTTTGAAGTCTCCAGGATCGTGGGGGCTTTGGTACGCGACATGTGTCAGATCCTTCGGTAGTCGGTGGCCAGGGCTGGACGATTCAAACGTTGAGATTCCGACAGAACAGGGTCTTGAATGGCCAGCAAGTTGTAGCGGAACGGCATTCACTTGGGGCTCTGAAGTCGAGGCAGAATTTACGTTGCTTACTTTGCTTCACCTGAAAGCAGAATAGGTGTCATTTGGTAGTCGATTCTGGCATTCTCGGCACTCGGATAAGTGTTTGCAGTCCTCGCAAGAAACATACTGTAGCACCCGGGTTGGATGAGTATCTACAGTAGTCAGTCCTCCCCAACATAGATGCCCCAACATGGAGCATTACCACCAAAACCTTCTGCAGAACTACGCCCTCCAGATGAGTGTCCATTCCCACCAGAATATTTCCATGGCATCGCAATGCTACTTTCTATCCCTGTCCCCGAACATGAACTACTCCTGCCCAAGGCCGCCGTAAAGAGTTTGAGTTGTTTGATATTTTGTCACGCTTTGACTTGGAGTTGTTCAGGCTTGAACTCGTGTGAGGTTTCAGGTTTTCGGTCTAAAGCCCGGAGCAACGATCTGCGCTTGAGGGCCTTTCCAGTGTCACGATGGCTGGTGCGAGCTTCAGGATCTTTATAGGAGTAGGGTTTAGCAGGGCATGTACGGCCCGGATTTCAGGACTAAAGCGCTGCAGGTTGCAGACTTAATGGGTTGCCCCAGCAATCCCACCAGGTACAATAGCTCTGGGTTAGGTCCCCATAATTTGCAATGCTGGCACTGCGGAGGTTCGCGACCAGCGCTCGCAGAGAGTGTCCGGAACGGAGGAAACCGGATCAGTCCAGGCCGACACAAATTAAATATACGCATACATACACAAATCGATATAAACGATCAAATCTAATCAGTAAGTAGTAAGTTCTTCTAAATAGCTAAAAGCACTCATAAGCACACGTATAAGTAATAGTATGGTTTTGTACATGTACACATATAGAGGACAAAAATACATGATCATCTGTCTACATACATACATACATACATACATACATACATAATTAATGGATACAGAAGCACATGTGCATATGTAACGATGAAAGAAAGAATGTATGTATGTATGCAAGCAGGCACAAATGTAAAGAAACAAGCAAGTAAATAAGCCATGCATGCACGATGTATGTTATGTATTTCAGTGTAGCGTAGTGTAATGCAGTGTATGTATGTATGTATGTATGTATGTATGGGCATAGTGTAGTGTAGTGTTCGTATGTACGTATTTATGTATGTATGTATGTATGTATGTATGCATGTATGCATGCATGTGTGCATGTATGCATTTCATGCATGTATACATGCATGATTTAGATGCGGGATGCGGTTTTGATGCTTCTGTTCAGCAATCAGGGCACGAGGTTCACACTTTTTGGCACCAAGGGCCATACCTAATTCTCCCTAAAACAGTATCTCTGCAGACCTTGCCTGGTATCATCCGAGTGTGAGCGTCAACACAATTAAGGGGTGAGATGACAGCTTGGGAATCTTGGGCCGTTCCAGCTTTTGAGCTGCCTCTGGGGTAGTGCGAGAGTGTCAGGGTCAATGGTTGACCTGTAGTTAGCAGGGTCAGGACGGATTTGCAGGGCTAGCGGCTCAGGGACCGGTGAGGTGAGGGGCTCGGACTAGCGAGGTTAGGGATGCAAGGCTGGGGTTTTCAGGGCCCAAAAGTTCACAGATCTCCAGAAAAGTTTTGTGATTGCAGGCACCGACATTTCGATTTATGCTTGTCAGTCATTGAGATGGGTGACTAAGTCACTAAGTCCTCCTCTTGAAAGATTGACGTGTCATGGTAGTCTCACAGGAGAAGTTGGTTGTAGATTCCACGACACCCCTTGAACTTCAAGCCTCACTGCCATTCCTACCGCCCACACTCTGTTTTCCGCAGAAACCTGTAGCCTTGACATCCCGAAGCCCCAGGACCCACCGACCTAAATTCCCACCGAGTTTTCAGGCGAATCCGGACCAGCCCGGCAGCCGTCGCCGAAGCGGTCCAAGCGGCGGCCCTCCAACGGTCGCCATGGCAGAGTTTGTCAGTTTTGCCCTCTACTGGTAGGGGTCCTAGATTCCTAGATCATGGGGTTTTGGACAATCAGCTACTTGCGTTGAGAGAAGCCCTTAAGCATAGACTAGTTTTATGCCCTGTTTCTCCAGGTAGAGAACGGGCAAGAGGTCCTCGCGTCGTTCTACTGCCGAAGGCCAGAAAGAATTAAGGGTTCGTGTAAGCACACGCCTGGCGTTGTGCTTTCTGTCGAAAGTAAAGGCCGTAAACCCTTAGCCTCCTCTGTCTGCAGGCCAAGGTGAAGCCGGAAAAGCTGGCGGTGCCGGTGAAGGAAGGCGCCGGATCTCAGAAGAAGGCCATCTCCGAAGCGATTTTAAGGGCTTCGGAGGCCTTGCGAAAGCTGGCGGAAATCGACAACAGAGCTTCCTTCGCCACTACACGGTCACGATCCCGGTCGAGGCCTGCACGGCCAGTAAGGCTCCGCAGCCGCAACGAATGCCGCTGAAACTCGCAGAGAACCTCACGGACTCGGCCCTTTCGAATGCTTGCGACAACCATTTATGCAAGCTCCCGATTCCTGGAAGCATGCGACCGGCGCCCGGTCGCACGATCTGCGGCAACCGTGTCAGGGTCTGAAGATTTGGCTTCGTGGCTCTTGAATTGCGCAGCGAGGAAAAGCGGGGTGCATCGGATTTGCCCCGGTTGATGTGCAGTTTTAGTCTTGACGACAGCAACGAGAGACCACCTTATCCGCGCGATTGATAGATGTTGAGCTGCTGTGAAGCTTGCCATGAGGGGCACTCGGAGCTTACGGAATCCTAAAGCCCGAATTTGCTATGACCCTGCAATGACTTCGCGCAGCAGTTCAGTGCACGGAAACGAGGCGGCTTCGGGTGTAGCATGTTGCTAGGCCACTGTTATTCGACATGCATCTAGTAGAGGTACGCTTCAGGTTGATGAATGTAGAAGTAGCTTCTCTGTGTGTGCAGTGCACATAAACAAGCTCCTGCAAAAAGCGCTGGCCAGTACTTTACATCGCACTCAGGAAGCAGGCGATGCTTCGAGGTTTCATTCTAGCAGCTGCCATGGAGAGGCTCGGGGGAAGCCCGAGGTGAGGACCGGGCTTCATGGTAGATGTGGAGTATGGACCGCAGCCTGCTCCACACAGTCGGGAGCCTGGACGCACCGGTCACGAACTGGAAGTGTTGCTTGGCTGCACTTACAAGAAAGTGCCCATGGCGTGTTAAGTCCAAGACCAGACCTGCGTCGTTCCGACCGGAACACCGCATCCATGCGCAGACTGCTTTAGGGTTCTGGTTGACCTGAGAGCTGAAGCTGGGCAGGCAGGTAGGCAGTCTAACAGCTCTGGATCGCTCCAGCCTCTTCAACACTGTAGCCCACAATAGGCCTAGGCCCTACAGCCTTCTAAGTCCGTCTCCCCCACCAGCCCTGTAAGCTGCAAAACATGTAGAGCTGTATGGCCCAAAACCCGAAGCAACCCCTACGCCGTGGGAAAAAAGCCCACTCCCTGAAGGGTCAATGTTCACATGGCCGGCCGTGCCCAGCGCCGTGTCGCTCGACATGCCGCAGCGGCCCGACTGGACCAGGCGGGGAGACCTCAGATGCCTTTCGTTTTTCGCTTCGCGCATTTCTTCCAAGAGCTTGGTGTTTAGACGTTAGGACTGCCTGTCTCATACATGCATGTCTCTCTGTATCTATATCGCTAGTATCTTCGGCCTTCTCACAAGGTTGTTGTTCCGCACGGGTCGACTTCGCAGTTGGGATGACCAGGTCCCAGCAGCCGTGATCTCGGAGGCAGTCTCTGTGGAGGAACCATTCCAGGCTGTGGTCTCCAGTGATGAGGAGGCAGGGAGGCAGGCTGAAAGAAAGTGACAAGCGATAGTTAAGGCAGAGATCGCGGTGTGCATTTCACACAGATTCAGCAACCAGCGTTGCATGTGAAGGTGATCCTGGCATCTGCAGACGTCCAGCTGCAAAGAGCGCACCGCAGACTGCCTGAACGTTCTAGAAGCAGGCTCCGTGCCCCGGCGAGCATCGGCCAAAGCGCTGTGGTGGAGCTGGATCCGCCTGCAGCCGGCTTCGTCAGAAGTGACTTGCCCAGCTTCTACGTCCACATCTTTGAATATGGCGACATCGCAAGATGTTGCAGTGCTTGTAGGGAGTTTTTCCTCCCAGGACAGTTGCGTCTTGGGTTTCTACCAGAAATAGCAAGAGAAAATGATGCTGATGCATCAGTTTGGCTGCATGCGCCGCGCTGCATCCGACGATCGAATTTTGCAGTGACCTTGACAGAGACGCTTGCTTTCGCAGCGAGCCTCCCCGATGCTGTTCGTGCCAGGGTGATGGAGGAACTGGGTGCTTCGAATGCGCGGCAGAGCCAGGCCCGCTGGCCAGGCTCTGCACAAAACAGCGGCGCTCTGGCCACCAGGACAAGGCCATGGCGCTTGCAGCTCCAGCAAGGTCTTCATGAGGAGGCCGAGGCCCCCGGCACGGCGAGGGAGGCCCGAGAGCCACTGGAGCCCTGGTCCTTGGTGCGGGTGCCGCTACCGGTGGCGCGCTCCGAGCCTGCATCGAGGCCTGGCCTCGCGGCCCGTGCTGCGCGCTCCGCGCTCACAGCAGGCCTGGAGGCGCGATGGGCCGCGATTGATGCCCAGCTGAACCGAGCCGAGAGCACCGAGGCCGAGATTGAGCCGGCGGATACCTTCGCGCAGAGACAGGTGGCCAGGGTCGATGAAGAAATGAACGATTTGCTCACGTTGGTTCCTTGTCAAAAGCTGGAGGCTCGTTGCGAGGAGCCGTGTGCGGTGTGTTACGAAGATATGACTTCCGGCGACGACGTGCGGCGGCTTCCTTGTTTGCACTACTTCCACATGGCCTGCATTGACAAGTGGCTTCGCGTCAAGGCCACTTGCCCGCTGGATAATCTAAATGTGCGCGAGCTAATCCAGAAGCAGGCCTAATAATTACAGCCGGTCTTGTGGAGAATTTGGCTCGCGCTCTGCTTCTGCACCTGATCACTACACGCGCAGTTGGGCTTCCCCAACATCATCTGGACTTCATGTCAGCTGCTCGGGCGAGGAGTTTCGCTCCCGAAGGAAGGAATGTGTCCACCGACCATCCGCGCACGAAGAGTAAAGCTGGTGACGTCGCAGTTGCTGGATCATGGCGGAGGAAAATTCAATCAATCCTGTGATGAAGCACATGTGTTCCGTCGCTGAACCCTGAAGGAGCCACTCGCTGCCAACAGGTCTGCAACTATACTGGCTATACTAGGCATTTTTACTCCTGAAGTAGAAGGACCGCAGTCTTAATAGCATTCACGATCACAGCCACTATCGTCATCGCACGTAGATAGATACATACATACATACATACATACATACATACATGAGGGCATGCCTGCATGCGTGCCTCGATTCATGCACATCCACACATCCATACTTGCACACAGATGTGAGTTTGTTTGGATGAAGTGATTAGGTATTTGGAAGTGTCGAGGACCAGCCGAACGATAGGTAGTAGGCGAAATTAGTGCCATAAGGTCGTCGATGCGAAGTCGCAGGTTGCCGATGATGGCTACCACATTTCGTAGCCATTGTGCTTGTCCCTCGTTGTGAGTGGGTCATGATGTATCACCCTTGGAATTGGGTCCTGTTGCCCAGCAATTCTAATTTACTGGCAGTGGCGGCGGTGACCCTTCAGCTGCACATCAATGTGCCCGCACGCGTTCGACCATGATGTCAGGGCATGTGGAAACCTCGTCCGGCTGCAATGTCAGCACAAAGTTGTTGAGTAGATAACACATAAGCATGTATTACTGCTATATCTATATATATATACATATATATATACACATACATACATACATACATACATACATACATACATACATACATATATGTACCACTCGGTGTGCAGATGCCTGCATGTATGTTTAACATATACATACATGCATACATACATACATACATACATACATACATACATACAACACACGCACACACACACATATATATATATATACATACATACATATATATATATATGTATGTATGTATGTATGTATGTATGTATGTATACTTATACTTATTGATGTGTGTGTTTGTTTCTACTTATAGTCTCTGTATTTCACATGATGGTGGATCTTTCTATCTGCTCGTATCTATCTGTCTTTTTTTGTTTCTGTTCGTTCATTGGTTTTACTTATGTATTTCTGTGTGTATGTATACCTAGAATGTATACAGTATACATACAGATAGTTGGTCAAGCAAGTGCCGAAGATTCTATAACTCTATGCAACTACCTGTAATGTATGTGTATGCATGTGGGGACATAAATAAATAGATAGATTTATACATATATATATATAGATACACACATGCATACGTACATGCATATGCACAAGTACAGAAAGAAATCGCAAAGTTGTGAGCTTCCCGTGCATCTGATGGAGTGCCTGGAGGTCTGAAGACGCTCCCAGGGATCAGACGCCAGGTGCGAGATCGGAGGATGCCCAGGCTCCGGCGATGAGCGGCTAAGGCTAAGGCGGCTAAGGATTCAGAGCTCAGGGTTCAAGGGATTTCCAGGCGGGCATGGTGGTATTGGCAGGGCTTACGGTCGCTGTGTGTTTGGGGCTCAAAGAGGGCATGTCAACTTTACCCTGTCTGGGGTGCGTGTGCGAGTTGCAAAGATGGTGGCAACTGAAGGGTCAGGGTATGTGCGCTGCGGCTCCTTCTTTCAAACAGATTCAACGGTTTAGGTTTTCCAGGTTACGATTTAGGCTTTCGGGATATGGAGCAACGGCTATTCTAACAGAGACGTTGGTTTAGACATGCGCCGTGAGTACTTGGCATTGTGGGCTTCCCCTGCTACACGCCTTGTAAAGGAGCCAAGTGTCATTGGTGCGGAACGCTTGCATGTCAAGGCCACGGGCCTTTCACCGGGAGTTTAACCACAGTACTCCTGTTATTCGGATGCCAATCAGTTGGTATCGTATCGATAGTGCCCGTAGAGCGGCGGACAGCAGAGGTAAGCAGGAGAACCTCGGATCAGTGGAGGTGAACATCTCTGCCAGCCCTCCTTTGTACATCGTCGGTTCCTTCAACGACTGGAGCGCAGCCTGGCCTGAATCTAGACACTCTATCTAGACTTATAGACCTTGAAAAAACCCCAGATACAATTATTATAATGTCTTGAAGCGTCAGCTTTCCAGAGCCCCATCGTGCCTTCACATCTCCACTGCATGCCGTCTAGGCCTAGCCACCACCAGGCATGAACCCTCGGTGAAACGTGAAGACTTGGAACTTAGTACACCCGATTTGTTGCAGGGCATCTGGCTTGGACAGAGGCTGTAGGGGTGTTTATGATGGAGCAAGGTGGCGCTGGTATTATGGTCATTGCTGCGATGTTAGCATGATTGTCGCCAGTGTTTCTGTCCTTGTGAAGACTCTAATCAACATTAGGCTTGTCGTCCTATTCAGGCTATTCAGCCAGAAGAATCAGCTCAGGCTTCATTTTGTGGGCAGTTCGAGCTTCGGGATTCGCTGGTTCTTCAATTCAGAAGTTGGTCCCATATGAGGCAGCCCCAAGGGTGCCGCTCTCTTCTACAAGGATCCCCAAAAAACAGCAGCTGCCCAAGAGCTTTCGAGTTTGGGTATTGGCCATCACAAGTAGCGCAACACAGGGAGGTTGAACATATCTGGAGTCAGTTCTCTTCAAGGTAGCATTGTAGTACTCCCACGTTCGTTGGGTTGCATGCTGCTTAAGCTACAACGCTGCTTGGAGAAACCCGCAGGCTTGGAATCCTGCGCAAATGAGAAGCCTTGCTTGTCTCAACTGCACCCCGTCTGCTGCTGGTTTGCTGAGCGTGCCTGTACCTGAAGCGAGAGAGAGAGAGAGAGAGAGAGAGAGAGACAGAGAGGGCGGGCGCGAGTTTTTTAGTGTAGCGGAGGCTGACGCAGAGCTGATGCAGGAGGGAAGCCGGGAGCCTCAGGCTGCTGTCGATTGGGCATAGGGTTTAGGGCTGGTGGTAGGGCTTCGCCGAAGGCCTGGCTCGGGATTAGAAGGTGCATCACTCTTCAGCTTGGCTCTTCTAGAAGGGTCGAGCAAAAGAGGACTTGTATACTTCACAATTTAGGGAGGTGGGCTCGTGAGGATAATTTTGTAGCATCATCAGCAGAGTAGCAGAAAAAGGTGGTGGTGGTGGTGGTGGTGGTGGTAGTAGTAGTAGTAGTAGCAGCAGTAGCAGCAGCAGCAGCAGCAGCAGCAGTGGTGATAGCGGATCGTGATAGTAACAATGACAATTACGCCCGCCATTTTGATGCTTACTCCAGGAGCTGCAGTGACAATCCGATCGAGTGCGCCCATGGGTAGCAGCAAAGGTATGCAGAAGGAAGAGCCTCGTGTCTGCGTTTGGCTTCGGACTTCGGGGCTTGGGCCTCTCTGCCCGCCTCAATCACAGGCTGCTTGCTGTAGGTTGTCATACTCTTGGGGAGTGAGTTCATTACGGTGCTGAAGAAGATAGTCGCTTCTCGTTATGGGCCTGCCTGCTTTTCACTTGCCCCCGGACTCACTGTGGAACCTTGAGATGCACAGGCAGGCAGGCAGGCAGAGAGAGAGAGAGAGAGAGAACGAGTGAGAGAGAGAGGGAGAGAGAGAGAGAGAGAGAGAGGTTCGAAAGAAAGAAAGAGAGAGAGAGGGGGGGGAAGAGAGGGAGAGATTCAATATAGTCAGAGTAATAGTTTCGATTCCGTGGCTCGGACAATAGTGGCACTACGAGGAGGAGGAGGAGGAGGAGCAAGTAAGAGTTAGAAGCATGTGCGGCTGATAGCAGTGCAATAATTACACAACACTAGTCACTGATCCTCGTAATGGGGAGTCTGCGGTTCCGAGCTGGAGGCTAGGGTATGAGGCCCGCGCTATTCAAACCAGATCGAATTCTGCAATTTAGATAACAAGCACGTAATGACGTAATAGCCTTCACAGAAATCCTCAACCCATCCCACATCTTCGTGCTATGACTTTCGTACGAATACAATGAAGCACAAAACGGCCGCCAGCCACAGCCCAGGTTCCAAATTCTGGAAGACGGCAGTGTTCTGGCCAACATTATCATGCAGTGTGGTCAAGCTGTCAGGATTTGTGTAGGTCCGAGGTCTTTAAGGGTCCACTAAGTCGAAGCCACAGGCTGGGAGAAGCGCCTCTTCCCGGCGGGCGGCAATTCTGAAACCGTGGTGGTGCTTAAGCCACTCGTGCGAACTTGAGCATCACCGACCTTTGAGCCTTTGAGTATGTTCATGTTCAGAGGCAGGTGCCCTTGGCATGTCAAACTGTCTAGGGTGACACATTCGAGACTGCATGTGACTTGACCTATCATTTTGGACAAGCGTGCATGTCTCCATGTCCAGAAGGCTTACAGCAGTGTGGATCCTTGCGTTGCATGCGTATATTGACTACATGCTGCAGGATGCTTTGGGCGTGCATACGTATGTACACATCCCTAGCCTTGACGAAGATAGTGACTTAAGTGGATCGTTTTTGGGGTGCTTACATGTGCCGAGTCGGAATTCACTTGTGGTTGGCTTGACAACCTGGAGTAATTCTGTCAGGGTGTAATCGTGCGGGCCACTATTGAAGACCACTGGAGCAAGATCCGTGTCCTGAGACGCCCTACCCTGTCCGCGCGTTGTCTTTCGTTGTCCAAGTAGTTTCCTTGTGATCCAAGTGCAGTGTAGAAGTTTTTGCTATTGAGTCCTTCAAGCACGAGCTCGTGGTTTGGATGCAAGGTTCCCGAACTGAAACAACGTGCGTTGGCCTTCCATGAAAGGGTTGGCATGAAGGGCCTGATTCGTGGTTTTGTCTTCGTCCTTGCGAATTTTTTCGATCGACATCTATAGTGGCGGGCTCCATTCTCTGATTTCGTATGATCGGATCTCAAGCCTCCGGCATGCGGCATGCCCAAGAAGCAGGAAATGGCAGGAAGCAGAATAACAGAAGAGTCTATAAGACATCGGAGGCAGTTACACAGAACACAGAAGAAGCGGAGAGAGGGAGAGAGAGGGAGCGACAAAGAGATAGGGAGAAGGAGGGTGAACATGTTTTCACAATCCCCTCAAAGCCCCATAACATATCGGGGGCCATGCGGCCGGGGGCATACGCTACCCCAGTTGTCCATGGACGGGTTCCTTACTTGGCGACAGGTTCGTGCAGTAGATCCATGACGAGGAAGCTACGCGTTGCTCTTCTCGAGGTCTTCAAGTTGAAGGTTTTCATCAACGGGGAAAGCCCCCAAACTCAAAGAGCAGCTACATAAACGCTTGCAGCATTTAGAGCTTTCAATGCCGCGAAAGCTGATAAAGACCCAAAGCCAAGCCAAAACCCTCCCAATGCCCAGGAAACAAGTCTTAGCCCGGAAACTCAACCCCCCAAACAACCCCAAGCCAAGATTGTCCGAGTGTGAGTGCCGAAACAACCCCAAAAGCCTATGGCAGCATGAGCAGCGAGCGAGAAACAGCACCAAACTTCCCTATGGCCTTACAAAAAGCCCTAAACCCAGGCCGGGGAGGTTCTCGCAGGCGGAGCGGAGCTCGGCTGAGAACCCCGGTCGCTGGGCGGACTCTCAGAGGGAGCTGAAGAAACTGAGAACTTCATTAAGCTAGGATGAACTAGATGTCAGAATTCTAAGGGCAGTTTAAGGGCTTATGTTACAGAGTTCTCACCTTATAGCTTCAGCAAGTTGGGGTTCCTGTTCTGCAGATCCAAGGAAGCAGTATCCTATTACATCAGGTTGAAACCCTTGTCCCTTTATGGCAACTGTTTAGTAGCAGTATCGGATAGTTATCCTGGCTAAAAGGGGTTTAGCCTGCAATAGAAGTTGAGAGTAATAGCTGGGATTTGAGGATTTAGTCTTGCAGTTTCGCAGAGATTTTCAACGCTTGGCTTGAGATTCCGCATGTGTGGCGGTGTTGACGTTTCTGTGTTTGCTTGGTTTACTCTGGCTGGCTGGCTGGCCCTGCCTGGCTGTCTGTCTGCCCGTATGTCTGCCTGTCACAAGCATGGACGGACAGGTCTGCGCGCCATACGTGTTTGCTCAATCATGGGTGTGTGCATGTTGGTCATGCCTTACTCGATACTGCATAGAATCTAGTTGTGGTTGTTCAAAACGGAAACCACCGCATCCCAACCTCCAACCCCTTTATCGTAATACCCCCACAACCCCAACAGCCCTAGACTCATGATGCATCCACTCTTCGAAAGATGACCAAACCTCTCCTCGTACAAGATGTCTCCCACCCAGGTCATGGACGGAACTGGGCAGTGACTCGGAAATTACAAGGGAAGGGGGTTCGCACCTAGGACCCAGATGAAACAGTTGTTGCATGTGCTAGTCTTTGTCTTCTGAAACTAGCGAAGAAACAGTAGATAGCAATTTTAAACAATGCTCGTCATCATGGGGATGTTACTCATAATGGTCCTACTTGCATATGTTTACGCCGTTCTGCTTTCTGTCGTTTGAAGCTGGACCTGGACGATGGGAAAAAGGCTCAGTTTGATATCACCAGCATCTCCTGCAGTCATCACCATCACCACAATCATCATCATCATCATCACCATCATTATCATATTGATCATGGCCCGACCCGCTTCAGCTGCTGTTGTTGCTATGTTGTTTAGCCTTGTTTCTTCTACCAGTATCGTTGAGGCGAGTGTTCTCTCTCACAAACCCCTGAGGCCCTGGGGCGCGAGCCTTCTGAAGACTGACTGATTAAAGCTCTCCTGTGACGTTTGTTCTAATGTCACAGCCCCATGCCAGTATAGTAGAGCATATCCAGACTCCTCCCTGAAACTGTCCGGCATGCCTGCGTGGATTAGAAATTTAGAAGCATCCACAGGTTTCCGTGCCTCCAGGTGTCAGGCTTCAGAAATTCGGACTGCTCAGAACCTCCTCACTCTCAGGGTTTTTTCTTTCCGGGTTGGCGTTCCGTTCTACGATATGAAGTATGTTTCACTGGTAAGTTTTGGTTCTTTCTTGAGAGCTTAGCATCGGCACGGTTGCTTTCGCTGAAGCAGCTGCGGAACTCTTGTTCCTGGAGTAACTTGGCTGTTCAGCAATTTCGTGTGCACCCTAGAGCCAACGGCTCCGTTCAGGAGGGGTAGAGTGGAGTGGACAAGAAATCACAACTGGCCCTAATTACGCTAACTCATGGTATCCCCTTTGAGGCCACTTCTTCGGCTTGAGAGCCTCCACTCTTTCGGTCCTCTGAGGTCGAGGGCAAGCCTGGGGCAAGCTTCCGCATCGTGTACAAGACAGCTAGCGGAAATGTCACCTGCGAGCGCGCTTGACTTCAAAATGGTGCTGACAGCGACAAGGTTCCAGGTCCTGTAGGATATGGTTAAGCTTGATGGACCGTGGTGTGCCAACATGTTGCCGTTGCGCTAATGCAGCTGTCCTTGTTTGCAAGTTTCGGCTTGATCCTGCCTTTGGCGGTAGGATGTCTAGGGCAAGGGCCCTTAGGTAGCTTACCGGCGATGAATGCCATGGTGCCTGCAGCGCCCGGGGGTGCACCCAGCGGAGGTGCGCCGGGCCCGGGCGCGCCTGCAGGGGGCCCGGGAGGGATGCCTCCAATGATGGGGATGCCCATGCCCGGAATGGTTGGAATGCCAGGGATGCTGGCCGGCGCGCCTTCCTCCTCCCCGAGCTTGGGTGCTCCAGGTGCTCCCGGTGCTCCCGGAGCTCCAGGACCCAACGGCACTGCTCCGCAGGGCATGCCGGGCATGCAGCCTGGAATGCAGGGAATGATGCCAGGCGGCATGAATCCCATGATGAACCCCATGATGTTCATGATGATGCAGCAGCAGATGCAGCAGCAAATGCAGCAGCACATGCAGCAGAACATGCGCCACGGACAGCTCACACAGACAATGATGAAGAATGCGACCAGTGCTCCTGCAGAGTCAAAACCTGGGGCTACTCTTGCCGATGACGATGACGCCATAGACCCCGAGATACAGGAGCTTTGCGACGCTCGACTTGTCATGTGATTATAGGTTCTGTTTCTCCACCGGACCGAAGACTGCCAAGCCTTAGCGCATCTAAGCGAGTCCACGGCCCCCCCCCCCCCCAAGGGTCGACTTGCGAAATCTGCATGCCTGTAAGGACTATTTCAACATCGAGGATAGATGGATCAAGCGACTGAACGAAACCATGAAGAAGAGGCAAGACACAAAGGCAGAAGACATCGAAAAATTGTATGAGACTCTTGAAAGAGCGAGAAGCCCCACCGGTTTGCTGACGGTCAAGATCGGTGAGATGGAAAGCGGTCGATTCATCGGCAAAGTGAAGCCGGCCAAAGAAGTGGAACGACTGGCTCGAAAGTTCAAGCTGGATGACCCTGTTGCCTCCAGGCTTACAGCACCGAGGCTGCTATAGCTGTGAGTACCCACTACTCTTGACTTAGCGCCCGCATAGAGCCTCGCTGTCAAGCGCACGTGATGGTGTTCATCACTAGCCTATTTTGCTCTGATTTGTCTTCAAGTTGCTGTCTTGTGTAAGTGATGTTGTCCACGTCGTTGTGGTTGTGGGGATAGTATCATTGTTTCCTCCGTGGCCGCTGTGGAGTTGAGATTTTGTAACCCCCCTGCAAATGCATGGCTATGCATGCGATTATCGTGCTAAATTGCCCTACTGTCCTGATTGCTATCATCGTGAAGCCCCAGTGTATAGCCTGCCTGTCCCCTTCTTGTTATTGTGATCTTTCTGACCTCTGTTACTGTTGCGCTGGGTGCCAAGGAGCTTATTCACAGGCGAAAGAAGGAGAACGAGATTGACCGCATGCATAAGGATCTGAACACCGTCGAGCAGCATCTGAAGTACTGCAAGCGTGCCAATGCCATGGCCACCCTGCTCGCTGCTTGGCACCCTTGAAAAACCGAAGGAACCGTTGCAGAGAGAGAGAGAGATAGACTCTGACGTTGGCCTTGAGACTCCGAGGTTGGGAAGCTGTTGGAAGGCGAGGTGGAAGAGCTGCCGGACTTGTCGGATGCTGAGAAGGTTATGGACAAGTATCGTTTAGACGATGATGCAAAGTCGAAGCTGCGTGAAATCATCGAGAAGCGGGCGGAAGACAAAGACGAAATCTTGGTGAAGATCAAGAAGCACCTGGATAACTGCGCTAACCCGTCTTCAATGCTCTGTAACTGGGCCCGCTTCAAAGTAAATCCAACATTGCAAGGTTATCCGAATGGATCTGTAGACACACTTGATTCAGCTGTCGTAGTACATTGTCATATAGCTTTGTAAGTGCAACTGTTTGTGACTGTATGCTTGTCGTTTTCGGTTCTTGGTCCCCACAAGTGCTTGTGGATTATTTCGGGCGGTACTGTTTGCGCGCGCGCGCGCGTGTGTGTGTGTGCGTGTGTGTGTGTGTGTGTGTGCGTGCGTCCTTTTTGTTTAACCGGTGCGGTTTTGCATGTTTTATTCGTTTCTGGCTTCGAAGCAAGCGATCGAGCAAGCAGGCAGAGCAATCCGCTTGTTTTCAAACCTGATGAACCACCATCGGCTAGTCAGGCGGCGGGTTCAAGAAATGGGATCAACAGCCAGCGCTTCATGAAGGAGCGAATCTAAGAAATGGGATTGACCGCCATCGCCTAATGAGTGGCCGGGTTTAACAGATGGTATCTGCCGCTATCGCCTGATGAGGGGGCAGGTTTGAAATGGCATCGCGGGTTAAAGAAGTGCGGTCGAGCATGATCACCTATTGCGGGAGCCTGCTGAAGAAATGGGATCAACGGCCAGGGCCTGATGAGGGGTCGGGTGTACGAAATGGGATCAAGGTCCACCGCTTGATAAGGGGACGGGATTGGGAAATGGGATCAACGGCCATCGCCATCGCCTAATCGCGCGAGGGGCCCGTTTTCTATTCATGTGGGCAACCGCAATTGCTTGAGTAGAGCTTTTGCTAGACTCGATTACGCTTTCTATGATTCTATGCATCGCCTAAACTGATTTGGGGGCGGGTTTAAGAAATGGGATCGTCCGCCGTCATCACTGAAACAGAGGCCGCGTTCAAAACACATTCCAGCGTTTTCAGTAATGAACTGGCGGGCTTCACCCTTGCACAAGTATCCTTGCCGCAAGGCTTCAATTCCTGGTCATCTGAGTTCGAGCATTTCCAGGAAATCAGGACGACAATGCTTCCCCCATGTGCAGTCTACACTCAAAAGTGTACTGGGCCTTCAACGCATTTCCGCCCGAAGCGTGTAATTGATAGGATGTGAAAGCACACCGTAACATTTTGTCACATATCTATTTGTCGTGGTCAGGGTGCCGTGTCGGCCAACCTGCTGAAGAGCAGATCCTGGGAACATCAGGTTTTGTTGTTGGAACTTGCGAGGATATTATTGCAAGCAGGCTTTTTAATTTGTCATAGACATAGACAATACATACCCCTCGTAGACTTATAGACTATTTGCTCGACGTGCGTGTGGAAACGCATGTTTGCAGCTGCACCTGCTTGGATAGAACTGCCATGTCCCCAACTATCTTAACGGTTGAACCTTGAAGCTGCAAGTCCGAAAACCCTACACACCAATTTTATAGAGTGTTAACTGTACATTCGACCATCGGCGCGAGGCAAGATCGCACGGCCGTTGATTGACAACGAGCCCCTGGCTGATCCACCAGAGAGACCGCAAAAGGGTGGTGAAAAGGGAGACGGCCGCGCTTCTGCACTATCGCTGAGCATTCTAATTAGCCAACAGTAGCAGTTGATTTGGACGCAGGGTCCTGTTGTCGGTTCGTGATACAAGGTCTGAGAAGGCAGCCAGTGTTGTGAGAGAAAGAACCGGAAGGTGCTTTGGGAGCTGTAGACGAAGGACTAACGCTCATTTGTTGAACTCTCGGAGTAGGTCTGCCGACGACGAACCAAGGCAAAGGCAGCGGCAAAGGAAAGGACAAGGACAGAGTTCCGACCTTTTGCGAAGTACAAACAAAACCTGTGCGTCTGAATGGCCAGGATTTGGTAACACAACACTCGGAAGGGCTGGGCAGAGTCGGTTTGTCGGCCCCGCTGTATCGTTCAATCATGGTTGTACATGCCACGCCTACTCAGTGGCCAATCGAGCCAGCTGACAGGTCACGACGACACTCAACAATCGCCTGTAAGACTGTTGCATACCCTTCGTGATGAGTTTAACTGAATCAAGAGCATGTTCACGCAGTCCCCTCTGTTGTAGAAACCGCGATACCTTTGGACAATGTTACTGGTAGCTTAGTTGGTCGCCCGTCGTCATCCGTTGACTCACACGTCCTAGCCCGAAGCAGTCGGGATTCTAACATCTAAACTCCGAAATGCCCTGGCCTCGGCCGTGTCGCAAGCACCGCCTGGCAGCATGTTGATCGGTTTGGCCGAGCATCAGGGTTTTGGGATGATGTTTTCACGGGTTTGTTTGGTTCTTTGCAGACCTTGTTTGTGTGGAGGAAGGTGGAGCTGTTGAACCGGCGAGGGTATACTAGATCGGGACCTTGCGCCTGAAGACCTCACCTGGCGCAAATACACATACCCGACTCACGTGGAATGAGGGCTTGAAGCATCACGTGGGAATCTGGCAAATCCTCAAGACCCCAGCTCGGAGACTTGTGCCGAATCCGTGGTAAAGCTACCATCGACCGAAAGGTCCAGCGCTTCCCCGACTGGCAACAGCTGAGCATTCAGACCGGCACATCACGCGCTGCCCTGCAGTGTAAGGGCACGGTTGACCGTCCTGCAACGTGCATGCTGCAGGATTGGAATGTAAAGATGCATCGATGCAACAAAACCTGGCCCTCACAAGCTTCAGTTCCCATGCAACCTCATTCGGCCAAGCATGGCGTCGACGCAGGATGCTAAAAGCAGTCGAAACAGTGCAGCAACACCATATTCCAGGGGAAGCAAAATCATGCGAAGTGCCTCAGCAAAATCTCCTTGCACGTCTCAGCAGCATCCAAACACCTGTTGCTCCCGATCCCATTCTTGCGTGTCGGCAACAGGGGAGAGTGGCAGTGATCCACCTTGTTTGGTGGTGAATGGTGTTCTTAGCGGTCGTTAGACAGACGTTGTCCACCTACGGAGGCTCGACATCTTGAAGACCTGCGCAATCTCTCCGTGGTGTGTGGTGCAGTGTGATCCAAACCGTGCTGCTCTACAGGCTCACTTCTGAGTCCTAGAGCCCCAAGCTCCCAAGCTCTCGGCCCTTAGGCAAGTTCTGCTTCTGGGCCCTCTTGCAGGACCAGGATCGTCGGGATCGGCACCGGAGTCGCAGCCGCGACCGGCATCGGAGTCGCAGTCGACGTCGGCGCAGTCGGA